CTTTGTCTTTAGGTAAACTTTAGAAGAGTTTGATATGGACTAAATACTAATTTTCCCTTTGACCTGATGTGCTGGAAAGAAGAGACATTTTGGAACCCACCCACCTCAAAGTGCAGAAGCGCCAAAGAACTTGCATGTTATATCCCCAGCCCCATGTGACCCAGACACTGCCCCTTGTTTCCTTTTGATGCTATGAATGAACAGAAACCAAAATCCTGCTGAAAGAAAGGAAAAGGAAGTGATTACAGAAAACGCGTCTCTACCAGGCACTCCTGCCAGCTGCCACTGCCCTGATGGCAGCCAGGCCTGGCAGCTCTGCCCGCTGTGGGTGACATGTATGTCTGTGTGTAGAGGGGTACTTAGGACTTATGATTTCACAGGTTGGAAGGGCTGAGCTGTGCTCTCTCAAATCTGACTCCCAAATGGAATTCCTGGGTTGTTTTTAAGACATGGATCCCCAGATGACATGGTGGAGATTGATCTGTCCTGGAGCACCAGCACCCATGCTTCAGCCTATGGGACATGTGGATCCAGGATCTGCACCTGGATAGGTAGGCTGGCCCCAGAACCTTCACTCTGTAACTGTTGAACTCACTGCCCAACAAGTCAATGCAAATAAAGGGTTTCCTGTTCAAGCATGTTGGGAGGAGTGCTACTTAAGGTAAACACATTCAAATTTTCTCAGGATTTCAAAGATGAATGTGCATCTCTCTACACCTGTCTGCAGCTATCTTCTCTGTCTTCTCCCAAAGACCAACCTTTCCACTGTCTTGCCTTTTTTGCTGACTTCCCTCTTTAGGACTAACTCTCTTCTTCATCATTAATTTTGCCCCTTTCACCGGGTCATTTTAACAGCATACAAACATGCTCTAATAGTTCACACCTTGAAGACCCTCTCCTTGGCCCCCATCCCTTGTTCCTCTGCTCCATTCCTACCAGGACTTGTTGAAAGATGTGCCTGTGCACTTCTTACCTTCCTCTCCCTCGTTCCGTCTCATGTCTTTTCAGCTTCTGAGCTCCCTGCATCTACTTGTGTCCCCATTCATCCACTCTCCCTTCAATGGCCAAAGGAGTCTTGTTAAAATGAAAGCCAATTCATGTCAGTTGATTCAAAGCTCTTGGGTGTTTCCCTATCTCCCTTAGAACAAGAATAACTTCTTACATGTGTAATGGGCTCATGCGGTGTGGCCCCTGCTTGGTTCTACCCACACTGCCTCTTTCCATCTGTATTAGTCAGTTTTGCCTCACTGTAACAAAATACCTGAGATAATACACTTTATAAAGGTTTATTTTGGCTCACAATTTTGGAGGCTTCAGTCCATGATCTATCTATTGTTCTTGTTGTTTGGGGCCTGTGGTGAGGCAGCCTATGGCCAGGAATGGGGAAAAAAGGAAAAGGATGAGTCTGAGTCCCACAGTTCCCTTCAAGGGCACACCCCTAGTGATCTTAATAATTCCCATGAACAAAGCTCCACTTCTTAAAGACTCCACCACCTTCTAATAGGACCAAGCTGGGGACCAAATCTTTAGCACATGGGCCTTTGGGGGCCTCCCAAGATCCATCCTAAGCTCCTCTTGCACCGTCACCCATACTTCCATAGCTCCTCTTCTGATGGCAGCTCTTTTGCATGGCTGGGCTCATCCTTGAGTTCTCAGTTCACATGTCACCTTAGAGAGGACTTCCTGACCAACCTGTCCAAAATAGGCATCCTGGGATCGTCTTATTCCAGAGCATGTGTTACAATCCAGATGTATCTTATTTGTGTTTTGCTTGCTTCCCTGTGGTCTTATTCCACTAGAATGTGAGTTCTGTAAAAGCCATGAACTCATGGTCTTGTTCCCTCAACGTGCACACAGGAAGAGCCTTGTGGCTGTCTAGTGGACATCATATGTCAGGGAGGAAAACCTTCTTGAAGCTTGAGGCTAACACCAGCATATCTCACCCCCCATGACCAGATCCCTGCTTCCTTGGCTAGCCCTCCATCCCCCACTTTCTCACCCTCTGTGTGCTCACACTTTTCATTACGCCTTTGCCTAGGTGATTGCCATTTTTGTTACAAACCTGAGTTCAGGTGTCAACATCCATCCGTTAGAGCTCTCATTTGGCCTCCTGTGCACAACCTCCACTGAAGCATGTTTAATACTCTATCAAGCCAGCATCTTTTTGACCTGGTTAAGAATGCAGGCCCTGACATCAGCCTGTCTGGGTTCGGACACCTCCACTGCCTTGTGCATGGTTGTGGGCCAGGTCTTTAACTTTTCTTTTATTCCGTGTCCTCAGTTATAAAGCACAGAGAATAATGTCCCCTAAGGAGCAAATGGGATGCCTGCCAGAGGCTTGGAACGGCTGGCATGACAGCCTCTCTGTGAGATATCTTCCTTTAGACATGAGGGAACTGAGACCCCAGTCTCACAGCTCCAAGAGGACAAGCCCAGGCTCTTTGCGGTCAGACAAAAAGCTTTCCCTGGCTTTACTTCCCGACTTTGTCACAGACCACAGCACATCCTGAGATCTCATGGGTTCAACTGTCACAGGGCTTGGTGGGACATGCAAAGAGTAGCGACACGCCTGGTAGGAAAAGCTGATTCTGATGCAGGTAGTTGTCCTTGGTGGATACAAGGAAAAGAGGCAGCAGCAGTGGGATAGAGACAATGTCATGGCTGTTCACCTGGGAGGTCATAGGAGGCATGTCCCTGTCCCTTTAGTAGAACTATTGCGGACATTGGGAGGGTTCTGCAGAGTCTGAGACCCTAAAGCCAAAGAAGATGGGGAGAGTTCATGAAGCATGTGGCTACTGTTACTGACTCCATTTATTATCATCCCTGGGCAGGAGAAACACATGGATTCCATTCCAAAGTTCTTTTCCCCTTCTATGTGGAATGAATATGATTCGTTCCCAGTTCCTCATCCTTCAAAAAAGACAGTTAAAACAAGGGATCCCCATTTCTGTCTATATCATTAAAATTGTATTCTAACTTTAAGTCAGATTTTTAACCTAAGCCTTTTTCTTTTCCATGTAGGACTTCTTCTACAATTTCCAAGATTTTTTTTCTTTAAAGTCAAACACAAATTTTAAAATACCTTTGAGGAAATCAATGAACAGCAGACTCTTAAGGTTTTTCTTCTTTTCTTTTTTAATCAATTACCCAATATTGTATGGTTGATTCATTTATACTCAATTTGACAAGATTTATTTTAGCAACTTGTCTTTGCTGAGTCTTCCTAAAACATTCTGTTAGATTTCCCTATTTTATTTCACAACTCGTTGGTTTACTTAATATTAAATTCTGTCATTACTGGTGGTACAACAGGAACTACAGGTTTGGGAACAGGTTGAATAAATGTAACTCATTTGGGGAGAGCAGAAGGGGATAGGTGTAGAGGTCCTAGGCCAGAGCCCTCATCTTGGGTCAGCCTCGGAAACTCAATGTGCTTTAAACTCAGAAATCTGTTATTTTCTAGACAGAGATTGGCAGGCAGAACTGAATAGTGCCAATTAATTTTCAAACAAAAGTTGCACATGCAGATCCTAGTTAGGCCAGCAGGTGGCAGACATGGCTCACAAGCTGCCATCCCCTATAAGGGATTTGGCAGGAGGCTGAGCCTTTTCTGGGATTAGTGGATGAGACCAGACAGTCCCTCATCTTGCAAAACCCACATGAGCTTTCATCTCCTCTACAACTTTGACTGCTTATGATATTTTCCTTTGCACGTTAAAGCAATTCCTGGATCATGGTGAGAGAACTCAATACCATCACAAAAACACACTGGTGTTCCCACTACCTTCTCCAAGTCTCAGTTTTCCCTCTCAATAGGATGAAAGGGGACAATTCCCATCTTACTGAGTTGTGGGGAGTCAAGTTGCCCCAATCTTTTCTCTTTTTCCTAAATAGAAGGGGAGGGCAGTATTTTACCTTTGGGGGAATCATTAGTTCCCTGGAATGTGGCTGGCCACAGCAGTGCTCCCAAACTTAGAGTGTCTCCACTGCCCCCCCCCCCCCGCCCGAGTGCCCAGCAATGCTCTAACCTTGCCCGCTGATCTGCTTTGGCAGGTGTCCTGGTTGTTGAGGCCTCTAGTAAGTTGCAGGGATAGTTGGCTGGCCTACCTCACCACCAGGGGAGTGACCCAGCTCTGGACTCATCCTATAAGCTTGCACTTCACGGTGGTCAATCAATGATGCTTCCTGGGAGCATCATGATCCTGGCATTTGTCACATGGCTCATTCTAACTGGCCAGGCATTGTCATAGACTATGCCTAACTCCAGGTAGATGTGTGTTTGGGTGTGAATGAGTTCTCCAGTGGTCAGAAACTGGGGCACTTTGGTGACTACCACTCTCCCCCCAAACCACAGCAGTTTACTGCTTGGGAGTAGAGAGGCCACATGTGAGGACACTGTGTAGGAGCAGGTACACTATGGCAAACATGGCAGCACTGACTTTGCTCCACTTGAGGCTTGTCCTCTCCTGGCCTGGCCTAAGCTGGGCGGGGCTGGCTGTGTTCGGATGGGAGAGGGGGCTCTCTTGAGGGATGAAGGTTTGAGATCTCAGAATAAACTAGAGGAGGGTTTGTGGGCATGGAAGGCACAGGGTCGGCACTTGCTTGCAGGGACTCTGGAAGGAAGATGGCACCTGGGCCCCATCTGAGGGGGGGGGGCAAATACATGCTATGCAGCCCTGTACCTCAGCCACCTGGGGTACCACTCCTGTTCTCCAGCTCATAGGCTCTAGCCCTGGAACAAAACTGGGGACCTGCAAAGAAAATCAGGTTATAGTGGGTGGCTCAGGGACCTCACCAGGCAGAAACCAGCTGCAGAGCCCAAGGCAGGGATGGAGGAAAGGGGGCTGGTCTTGAGCACTGGATGCAACTAAAACACAGATTTGCATAAATCCAGTTCCCCTAACAACAATGTGGAGTCCTCGGGGGGCTCCCAACCCTGCTAGAAAGAGAATTTGGTCAACCCCTGTGGCACAGACATAAAGAATGGATCAGGTAAGGCATCATGCTTTCAGAGCAAATTTAATAAAGAATGTGAAGTGTTCTTGGTGGCTGCTCGCTCCTGAGTGCCATCTTTGGGTAGCCATGGGGGACTCTTCCTGGGTGAAAGGCTAAATGCTGCTCTTGTGGCAGGCACCGTCCCCTCTGACACCCATCAGGACCCGCATAATAAAAGCAGCATCCAGATCCCACCTGGGGTATATGGGGTCCCAACAGTCCCATCGGGGTGTCAGGGTCTTTCTCTCCAGCTGGTTCCAGAGCACCTGGCCCTGCCAACAGCCTGGTCTGAGCGAGAGGCTTCTGGCTCCTCATGTGGCCTGTGCCAGCTCTGCTGAGGGTAGAGTGGAGCAGGTGCCAAGTGAGCTCTTCCGTTCTCTCACTTTGGGGCTCTGGCACCTTTGACTCCAACAGTCAAGCTTCCCAGGGTAGAAAAAAACTCCTCCATCTCCTTCTGCAGCAGCTGGTTCCTCCTCTCTGCATCCTCCCGTGCCCGCTCAGAGTTCCTCAGCTTAATTTCCAGCATGGTGTACTTCTTCTTCTCCTGGTCCAGCTCTTCTTCTAACCGTGACATCTGTTTCCTCAGGTCAGCACTGTTGGCTTCCATGCTTAAAAAGAATCAAGAAAAGATTTCTCAGACTCTGGCTCGCTGGGTTTTATCAAACAGAACCATCTAGAAAGGGGCAGTCATGGCCAAATCGGGCAAGGTCCTTGAGGGGAGGACACCACAAGACCTGGCACTCTGCCAGAGAGCCAACTGGGTCTGTATGAGGATTCATGCCTTCAGCACTGGAGGCTGGAGGCCACCATGAGTCCCCACTAAAATAAAAGGACTCTTGCCCATGTAGCCCCATCACTTGTCCCACTGAGGGCTGCCTGCCCTGGCTGAGAGCAGCTCTGGTCCCGGTAAGAAGGGAGGGGAGAGCCCCAACTGTCCCTTGGTCTTTGTTCCTATGTCCCTCTCCTTCCTGCTGCTCTGACACCACCTAGCACTCCAGCCGTTGACACTTACAGGAAATTCCTACATGCCCTTCATGTCCCAGCTCAAGTGTCCCCCCTTAGTTCTGCTTCCTTAGTGATCCTCCCTGTAGGTCCTGGCAGTGCTCCTTGGTGCAGCCACAGATCCTCCAAGGTCTATACCACATTCTGCAAAAGTTGGCACCTCCTCCATCTTTTTGGCCAGCTCCTGTCCACCCTGAGATAGCTTGCACACTGGGGCCTGGGGGATATAAGCCCCATGGTGGTGGATGAGCTAAGAGTGCACTGAGCCCCCACATGTTCCTCTGAAATACAGCGGGTGAGCCCGTCCCAAGACACTACAGTCACCAGAGAGGGAGGATAATGCATGCCCAGCAAAGCACCTGGAAGATGGCAGATGTGGAAGAAACATCAGTTCCCCACCCTCCAAGACAGGGCCCAGGCCTCCATCTGAATCACTGAGCCTAAGTTTGGAAAAAGGAAACCACCCTTCACGGGAGCAAGGACATGCGGTCAGAAAGCAGATCTCACTTGCTTCTCCTTGGTCCCAGCCCCTTCTTTGCTGGCATCTCCACATTCCCTGCTGCCCCAGGGCCAGGTTCCTCTCCTCTTCCTCTTTATACCTGAATGACCCTGTCCAGTCTCTTGATCCTAAGCCCCCTGTCCAGCCTATTTATTGAGCACATCCAACTTTCTGGGCCCCAAACTGAGCTTGTAACCCTACTTTCCACACCACTCCCAGCTCAGCACCCCTCCAGGGAGCACCTTCCTCAAGCTGCTCCACCCAAACTGTCATGTCCTCCTGGAGCTGGTTCTTTTTCTCACTCCCACATTCTATCAACCAGCAAAACTCACTGGCTCTACTTTCAAAATATGCTGACAATCTGGCTGCTTCTCCCCACCTCAACTGCTGGCCCCTTTGGCCTGTGCCAGCCTCCTGGCCTTTTAAATGGTTTCTGTTCTTCCCTGGGCCCCTGATGACCACTCCTCTGCAGGGTGGTGGCTAGGTATACATGGGAGAGGGAACAAAATGTCTCAGACCCTCCATTGCTCTTCATTCATTCTCACTTCTGCTGAACAAGACCAGAGCTTCACCCAGGCTCAAGGGCCCTCACACTATCCCCTCCACCCAAGGCTGAGGACCTGCCCCAGCCTTCTCCCCAGTGTCCCTCTTCCCTCCAAGCTAATTTATTGTGTACATCTAACACACCAGACATGGATGAAAATGTATCTCATGCATGATTTTTCTGCCCTTATCCCCCCTGCAAAAGAATGAGGGCAGGGGTTTTGGTCAGTTTGGGTCACAGCTGTGTCCCCAGGGTCTAGACCAGAATCTGGTACTTCACAGACAACAGTCTCTTCAGGGAATGCTTGAAGGAAGACCTCCATCGGAACGTGCGGAGGGGCTCCAAGTTCCGAGAGAGGCAGGGTGTAAAGCGGATCTCAGACATGCCCTCTCCACCACACCAGCCGGATGACTTCACAGCCACTCCATGAGGGGGTACATTCCCCAAAGGCCTGCTGGATGGGGCAAGGTGCTAGCTGCCCCCTCCTTCCTGTGCTCTCAGACCCTCCTCACTGTAGACCCTCCCTCTGACCAGGATAACATCCTGGGCCACTCTGCCCATGAGGATACCACAAGGGTCTCTGCTGAGGTCCCTCTTCCTCTGGGAACCTCATCTTCCTCCAGCCACAGAGCTGCAAAGAACATGGGCAGTGGAGGCTCCTGAGCCCCTGGGACATGCAGCACTGGGCTGAGCTAGCCCACCCAAGTGAGGCACTTCATCCTCAGGACAAATGGGTGGGCTAACATCAGCCAACAGCAGGTGGAGCTAGGACTTGACTCCGGGCAGTCTGAGTCACAGCCACCACCCAACAACATCGAACTCGTCCCCAGGAACCAAGTCACATTGTGCAGGTGACAGGGAAAGGGTCAATGGGCTCCACAAGCAGGCAGGCAGGGAGAGGCTGATTCTGACCTCTGGGACATTGTGGGAAGGTCATCCTTCAGTAGTCCCCAGCTTCCACTGTATCACCTTGGAACCAGGGCTTACCTGTGTGGCTTTCCTGTTTTACACCCTGGGTTTTACTCCTGTCTCCTTTCTCCTCTGCTCAGCTCCATCCTATTGGCCCTTCAAGTCCTGGCTCAGGCACCACTTCCATGACCTCCCCCGCTCCAATGTCCTTTTCCGTCCCTTCCTGCTATGAACATGGTGTCTGTATACACCTGGCACTATGCAGCCCAAAAGAACATGGTATCTATAGATACCTGGCACTATGCAGCACAGCAAAAGGGCCAGTCACTGTCCTCCCAGGTCCCTGGTCCCTCCCAGATCCCAGACTAATGGAAAATGGAGTCCTCAAATGTCACTGAAGGCCGGCAAGGGTGCGAGACCCAGGCTTAAAGGGGGCCTGGGCTGAGCAGCAAGGGCCTGAGATGCTGATGGAAGCCCTGTGTGCTGGCTATTAGTGAGAACTGCATTGACCTCAGTGGAGAACTCAGCTTCTTAGGATTTTAGTAAAGAGAACACCCTCCCCTCGGGATGGCTGAGAGGATGGATCTTGGACCCATCTGTGAGTGAGCTTGCAAGCCACCTGGAGCGGGAGGCGCAACAGCTCTGTGACCAGGTTGGATGGGAGGGAGGGCTTGGCTCAGTACAGCAATTGAACTCCAGTCCCTAAAGCTCTCCCTCCCCACCAGGCTGGCCTGCCCTGCACATGGGCCACAGAATGCAGTGCCAGTGGTTGGCCAGGGCTGACATTCTCACCTACACTGTAGGGGGGCATTGATGGAGCACTCACTACATGCCAGACCAGTGAGCTTTGGAGTTTACAAAGATGGAAAATTCAGCCCAGCCAACCCAGGGGTCCCAGGGGCATCCTCCTGGATAGGCAGGAAGAGCTCCCAGCTCCCAGCCCTGCCTCTCAGCACCCTCTTCCAGAGTGGGCAGCCACAGAGGCTGTGGACTGGTACAGCTGGGGCCCTTTACCTTTTCAGACTTGTCTCATACTCAGTCCTCTGCCGGCTCAGCTCTGCTCTGAGCTCAGCCACCACGCTCTGGAGAGCCTGGCAGTGGCGGGAGTGGTCCTGGGTAGGGCTGCCTGGGTCCTTGGGTTCACTGCTGCTGCCGCCACCTACACCCGCCTCATCCAGACTGTGGCCCAGGTCTAGGGACCTGTGGTCCTCACTGCTGCTGGGGAGCGGCGAGGGCTCAAGGGCCCATTCGGTGTGCAGGGAGCTGCAGGTGGATGAGTCACTAGCCCGGCAGGCCGTGCAGCTGCTGATGGAGGCTTCCCGGGAGGACAACGTGCTGGTCACGCTGACAGTGCTGGGAAAGAGGCTGGGTGGGGGCACATTGTCATAGGTGGAGAGTCTTTGTGTGGAACCTGAGTTCTTGAGCCGGTCTCCTGATGAGGCCCGGCGGTGACCTCGCAGAGAAGACAACCCGTTCATGAGCCAGTTCCCACCAGAGGAGATGATGGGCACTTCTAGAGACGAGCTGCCCGCCTTTGGGCTCCCTGACCGGGACCCTGGCTGCCGGAAGGAAGACTTCCAGTTGGGCAGAGTCTGTACCCTCTTCCCAGGGCTGGTGGCTGCAGGGCCACCTTGGCTGCCTAGGCTTGGAGGGGAGGTTCTAGAAAGCATTGCTGCAGCTGGCCCGTCCAAAGATGAGGTCCTGTGTGGGGGCAGGCTGGAGCCACCAGGCTCCCCTTGGCTGTCGCTGGGGATCTCCTCAGAGTCCCACCCCACTGTGCACTGTGGGACCCTACAAGGGGAGGCAGGTCCTTCTGGGGTAGGCGTGGTGAAGAGCTGGCTGTGTTTGCGGATGAGGACAGTCATCAGGTGCTGGACTAGGGAAGTACCTGCCGCAGAGAGAGAAGAAAAAGGCTTTGCTGTTAGTGGCTCCAGCCAAGCAGGGTACGTGTCCCCTAAGAAGCCTTCACCTGAGTCTGTTGTAAAGGACCATCCCATGTCCTCTGGATCCAGGCATGGGCAGAGGAATTGTGCCTAAGAATCTCCTTCCCTGGATGCAGATCTTGAGCAGGGAGGAACAGGGACAATTCCCATCAGGGCTGTGGTAGGAACAGGAGGCAGGCTGAAACTGAAAACCTGAACCTGGCACAGCAGAGCCCTGCTGGCTGTCCTGTGTCTCCTTCCTATGCTGCTGATGCTGGCTGTGCCTGACTGTCCACCCTCTGGGGGCAGAGGACCCTGGCACAGGAATGGAGCTGTCTTACATGCGTATGGGCATGCACACAGTATCTTCCACACAATCCCATGGGCACACAACAATCTGACCAAGTGCCCTGTGACACAATTCTGGGGACACAGTTCCTATGGTGGTGAGGCTGGTGTCAAAAGTAGGCTTTCGGGAAGGACCATGACAGCTATCCAGTAGCCTAGCTCACTCTTATTACCCACAACCGAACAGAGACCACCCTGGGGAAGTCTGCCAGGAAATAAGGAAGGTCAAAGGCTTAGATGGACCCTTTGACTGAGGTAACTAAAAACCCAGGAAAGAACCACATCAGGAATTTCTTGGTCAGAAAACTAGATGAAGCAGGAATTCAGTAAGGTAGGTGGGTAGGTATTCACCCTTGGGCATTTGGGCAGCCAGGCAGGTGGGAGCGTGGGATTTCCCTGGAGCAGGAGAATCAGGCCAACACAGAGGCCTGAGCAAAGGGCCAAAGTAGAGGCTACACCCCAGGCAGAGGGGGAACCAAGGAGCTTCACTCACCCCGATACTACTATATCTCCCCCAGTCATGCTCAGCAAGGAACTTGGCCTTCTGCTCACCCAGAGCCAGGATGGTATGGCCCCCACTGGTGTTTGTCACTGTGTGAGTCCTGGCCAGCCTCTGCTATCAGCTAGAACCTCAGGAGAAACCTGTCTGCTTGGTGTGGGAACAGCAGGACTCCAGAACTAACTCTTGTCAGTTAGTCTTCCCAGGGGCCCGTGAGCACAGGCTCTCATTTCCAGGCCAGCCTAGACCTGTGCCCTTTAAATGTGGCTGGCTGACCTCACCTGTTAGCCTCAGTTTCCTCATCTAGAAAATAAGGGCAATCACCACAGCACAGGCTGCTTAGAGGACTGAAAGCAAGTGATGCGGTACGAAGGAGAGGAAAGCGAGGCACACTGAAACCAGAACCACGCTGCTCTTTTCCTTCTCTCTACTCCCCCACCCCCGTTCTTTTTCTCTAGACCAGGTCTTACTATGTTGCCTGGGCTGGCCTCAAACCCCTGGGCTCAGATGACCTTAAAACCTTAGTCTCTCTATGTTGCTTTTCTTTTTTTTTTTTAAATCATATTATTTGTTATCATGGAAGAAAAATTCCCCGGGGGTTTTCAAAGCTCTGACACCCAGGAATCTAGGACAATGACTTCATCATCAAAGTAAAAAAAAAAAAAAAAAAAATGTCTGTATTCAAGGGCAAGGGCACTGACCTCTCCCTCTCCACCACAGTAACCGGGGGCCATTCTAATGACATCCAGTGAAAACTGCTAACAGTCACAGGGTGAAGTTCCTTTTACAGCCAGACCCCAAGGGGGTGGGATCTAAAGAGGCTCCTGCTAAGTCCCCAGAGATAGAGGCACAGCCATCTAAGGTACCTTCCCCTTGGTCTGGCTCTGTGCTGGTTCTAAAGATGAACCCTGGACAAAGATGAGCACAGACCCAGAAGCACCTGGCACCCCAAGAAGCTTCCCTGTTACCTTCCATGATGGTCACTGGATCCTCTATCTGTGGCCGTAGTATGTTAGGTCCAAAAACAGTTGCCAGGTTCTGGACACTCATCTTGTTGATATTTGAATGGGACTGAACTTCATCCAGAAACCTGCAAAGCAAGGAAGAAGCAATTGGTGAAGAACTGAAATCTGAAGTCCAGCCTGCATTGGGATTCTTGGTCCTTTATGCTCTGCTCACCAGCCACACCCACCCCATGTCCAGGCACACCCCCACACCCGGCCAAGCCTCCCGCAGGCTTCCATGGTTGCTGGGCACAACTAGCTGCACCTCTAGGCATGGGGCTGGGTGAGAGCTACCCACACATGCCCCCAGCCAGGGCCCAGAATGACACATGAAGGGTTGTGATCAAGGGGCACATGCTTGAGAGATGGGATGGTGAGAGGTGCCCAGGGCAGAGGGTATGTCTTCCAGAATGATCCACTTAGGACTGATTAAGCTGCCTACTTTCAAGGAACTGTAAGCTCTGTGAGCTCAGGTTCTGGGTTCTTTTGTGCTCCCTGCCATACCAACGCTTGCCAAAGCTGTGCTGAATGGGTGAGTGACCCAGGCCTCCTCTGCAAAGGACAGTGTGTCTATGGGGGAGCAAGGGATAAACACAGGGCCAGAAGGGGTGGCCTCCCACCCCAATGCCACTTACTTGCAGATATATCTGAGCAGGTTGTAATTGGCCTGGGGAAGGTTGCTCACTTGTTTAGCCAATTCCAGAGTCCCCTTGGGAAAGAAGAAGAAGAACACAGAATTTTAAACAGTGAGTACTTCTCTGACTGGGGGAAGGGCTGGACAAGGATCAGAGAGACGGGGGCCCAGCCTCAGATGACCACCTCCATGCCCCCCCATGGAGGGGTGGAGCCAGGCTGTGATTTCTTGGGAAGGCTGATTTCCTTTCTGGGAGCTGGCGTGAGGGGTGAGCCTCTTGCCAGGTCACAGAGGAATGTCTCAGCTCACTTATCAAGACACAAATATTTGCCAGATAACAGCCCTCATCTCCAACACAGCCACAGGGAAGGCAAACAGTGCTTCCCCTGCCCCAGCTGCCCAGGGTTGCAGACTCGCACCTGCAGGGCTGTGAGGGAGGAGGGACCCTCTGTCCTGAGAACTCTCTCAAATTCTTTCCAAATGAGACAGGATATACATAGGTAAAAGGTCTCTTTTTTACTGAGCCCCAGGGCAGGTCTGGGTGGCCTGAGGCAGGCATGGGAAAAGGCCATAGCATAGAAACACCCACTGCAAGTGGCCAGAGCTGGGCACCCTAGACCAACATCCCTTTTTAGGAGGGAACCTGTCCCTCCCAGACACTTATGTCTACACACGGGGAGGGCCCTACAAAGACAGCAGGATGCTCCAGCTACTACCCACTCACACAAACAGCAGTCTTCATCCCAGGAGCCATGTGCCATTGAAAGCCACGTGTCCAGGAATTTGTGTCCTGACTCCATGTGCCCACCACCCACCAGTCCACCTCCCAGGATGGGTCCCCAGGAGGCACTAACCTCCCCCTCGTCCTTGGTGAGCAGCTGGGCGCAGCTGAGGAAGTCCTCGTACCTGGCGAAGGGGATCACGGGCTCAGGGAGCTCCCGCAGGTAGAGCTTCAGCAGGGAGGCCACCGTGTGCACATCTGTCGTGCTGGGGATGGAAGAGGAAACATGGGTGAGGCCCAGGACCCCAGGGAGCTGCAGGAATGACACTCATGCCCCACTCCCCAAGAACAGCCTCTGGTCTTAGATGGTCCACGTGTGTGCACGTAGTGGGGCTACATCCCAGCCAGCTGCCACTGGCCGAGGAAAGGTCCAGGTGCGGACAGGTGTCCAGTGGGGTGAGCACCGAGGCTGTGTGGCTGGGAGCTCCAGCCGGGAAACACTCATTATGCCCAGACACCTACTCAGAACTGAGTCACCTGCCTGTGCAGGCTAGCTGGAAGGCTGCCTCTCCTGCACAGGTTGCATCCTGTTTGGGTTCTATGGCATAGCACCTAGTTTTCAGCTGGCCTCTACTCCATGCTTGCATTTCAAGCAGTATCTGGGACCCATGGGGCTTATCCACTTTTCTGGCCTAGATTGAAGTCCTAGACCTGCATTGCCCTCATGAGAGGCTCTCAGGAAAGATGGGCTTGAGGCAGGGAGACTGTGGCTGTGCCATAAAGGCAACACCTGGCATGGCCAAGTCCCATGTGGCCTCACTGAGATAGGCACTGGTGTCCCTTTCAGCTCTGACATTTGGGATTCTAGGGTTTCATATGCCCACATCCCCCAAATCCATACACACGAGGCCCTCTCTCTGCCTCAGGCCTGGTGACTCCTGGTCTAGTCAGGGTCAAACAGCCTCCAAATCCTGCCTGACCTCCCTCTCCAGCCAAGCAAGCTGCTACCCACCCTCTACTGCCTTCTCCAGAGCCACCTTTGCTACTGATGCCCCAGCGTGATTACAGCCCTAGTAGGTGCTGGGTCAAACACAGTGGCCCCTTTGTCTCTGGGCCTTTATGAGTTCAGTGGCAGCAGCTGCCTGAGCGGGAGCCTGGGGAGGGCAGGAAGAACCATCAGGGCGTCCTGCAGAGAGACATGTGTCTAGAGAGAAAAATGGAGGCGAGTCAGCCATCACTCTTCCCCCACTTCTGCAGGTGCTAGTGGGCCACTGGATGCAGTGCAGCCCCTGTACTTTGCCAGCCTTGCCTAAGGCCCCTTCCCCAGTGCCCTGCAGGCCCTGCTGTGCCTAGACCCTGGCCGTTCCCCACACCCTGACTTTCGCACAGTCCTCCCTGGTCTTCCTCAGCCCTCTTTTCCACACAGGGCAGAGGTCCTTCCTTCAATGGCAGCCCCAAGGCTTTTTTCACACTTGCTCCTGAATTCCCCTCCCACACCCACTGTGAATTCAGTCCCTTGCTGATGCCAGCACCCAAGAACATTCCACAGCCCATGGCACAGCGGGCACCCACCAGCCTGTCAGTCTCGGCATACACACAAGCCGCTGGTGGAGGGAGCTGGGTGCAGGGCGGAGCAGACACAGTCACACAGCAGACCTGACCCGGGGTCAAATCAGCTGCTGAGGTGCAGTGAGGCAGATCAGCCTGGGCCAGGTTCCTTATCTGCAGGTTCTTGGTCATCCCTTCCTTCCCAAGGACCCCTCTCACCCATGCCAACACCAGCATCCATCAGAACATGGCTGAAGCCTCTTGACTGTTCCCCACATGCCACATTCCCCTAGAATCCATTCACATGCACACACACACCCCAACATGGTTGGGCTCACATTTCCCACCCTGTAACTTCTGATGGCTTCTGATGGCCCTGCCCCACCTCTTCTGTCTGGCCCTGTCCTCCAGCTGCCTCCTGCAAAGGAAAACAATCCATTCTGCAGCCTGGGCAGAGTTTCTATCTGAGAACTCTTCCACCCCTAAAGCCCATGACCTGTGGGCTTGCCTGTCCCAGGAACTCCATCATATACCCTATTGGTTCCCTATTGGTTCTCAGGGTCAGGGCAGGGGTTCCTGGACATATTCGCTTGTTTTGTTTGCCAGACCCCTTAGGAAGTCAGCTGCAGGTGGGCACAGACCTCATGTGTCTGGTTCACTGACCCCTTCCAAGGTGCTTCTCACACCAGGGAGAGATGCTGAACAGTCAGAAAGGGATGCTGCAAGGTTCCACAGGTTCTGGTACAGAGGAGACCCTCCTCAGCGCCCAGCCACAAAGTGGACAGCACCAGGACAGCTGCCACAGGCGAGGGCCCAGGGGAGGTACTGTGGGAGGGACAGGCATGGGGCAGCTTGGGTCACCTGGCTTCCATCCTGGTGAAGGAACTGATGGGGGAGGGACCCAGGACCAGGAGCTCAGTGGATATTCTTATGCAGACGAGCAGGAAGAGGAGGAGGGGTTTTCATGGTGGAGGGGACAAGGGCAGAAGCCAACACCCCAGCTGGCAGGGAGGCTATGCAGAGAGCACAGGGAGGCTGTAGCCTGGAGAGGGAGCGCTGCCTTGTACCCTCTGTAGGCATGTGGGCAAGAAGAGGAGCTGGGACCCTCCTGAGCAGGCAGATACAGCTACAGGGCCAGGGCTGCTAAGGGATACTAGAAAGAAGAGAAAGGTTTCAGTTACCCCAGGAAGAATTTCTAAAGGGGGAGGGAATTTATAAATGGCAGCCATGGGTGTATGGGGGGACACTGCTAAAAAAGAAGAGTAGCTGCGGAGCCTGAGAAATCCAGCTGGGACGATGGGCCTCCGGTTACAATCCCAGGAGGAGGAGTACAAGTGGTCAGAAAGGGAGAAGGCAGACAGGAGAGGTCCATTCTGCATACAGGGATGGTCTGCCCGTCCTGCTAAGAGGCTGGGGTCCTGGGTCTGCAAGCCAGGGCTGTGGAGACGGTAGTCTCTGTGGGCACCTGGTAGTCACTGCAGCACGGCTTCAAAAGACAGGCCAGGAAGGGAGAAAAGCCAAGCCGAGCCCACCTGGAACCATACCACAGGACAGCACTGTGCCAAGATGGAGACATGCAGGGTGGGTGAAGTGTGGAAGGCCTGTGGCCATGCCAGTAAGCCCATCCCAGAGACGTTTGAGTAGGGGAGTGGGGAGGTCTGATTTGCATTCACAGAGAATCTTTTGGTATCATCAGGCACTAGCATCCTCGGGGAGCTTCTAAAATCTGATTCCCAGGCCCCTAACTATGCAGCATTTACTTGAAGCAATCTCCAACCCTGGCATCAGCCTGCATAGGACAGAAGAGGCCTGGTTGGTGGAGGTTCAAAATGGACCACAAGCTCATTAAGGGTCAGCATTGGCCCAGACCTCTAATCCCAGGAGCTTGGGAGGCTGAAGCAGGAGGGTCATGAGTTCAAGGTCAGACTCAGCAATTCAGTGAGGCCCTAAGCAACTCAGTGACACCCTGTCTCTACATAAAATATAAAAAAGGGCTAGAGATGGGGGCTGGGGTTGTGGCTCAGCAGTAGAGTGCTTGCCTCGAATGTGTGAGGCACTGGGTTTGATCCTTAGCATCACACAAAAATACATAAATAAACAAAATAAAGGTACTGTGTCCATCTACAACTAAAATGTATATATAAATATATTTATATAAATCTATTTTAAAATATTTTATAAATATATATAAATACATAAATATAAATATGTAAATATATATTTAAATATATATATATATATAAAAATATATACATATATATTTATATAGGCTAGAGATGTAGCTCAGTGGCTAAGTACCCCTGGATTAAGTGCCCCAGTACCAAAAAAAAAAAAAAAAAAAAAAAAAGCCAGCATTGGGACAGAACTTCACAAGGCTCTAGGGGAGTAGACCACTGGCCTTCCCTGGATAGACCACAGACCATCTGCAGGGAATAGTGGTCGGTCCTGGACTCCACATCTAAAGAAAGGAACTGACAAACTTCTGCCGGTGGTGAGGGGCCGGGGCAGAAGCTGGAGGGCTGAGGGTGTTCTACCCAGAGAGAAGAAGACCTGGGAAGGTCAGGGTTGCCCATGAGTATCCCCAGACCTTTCCTGAAGCAGAGGGGCCAAGTCTTAGGCACAGACCTAAGACGGGATGGAAGCTCCAGGGAGACCTGGGTTGGTCTGAGATAAGAACTTTGTTATGAAAAACTGCCCGGGATCCTATCAGGGAGAAAGGAGCCCCCCAACATCCCTGGGGTAGGCAAGCCACACCTCTCTCATTCTCATTTTCTGGGCTACAGATGTAGTTGTCTCCACCTAGGAAGTGGCACCTAGGATATGGGTAAGCCCCATTGATGGGTTGGGATGGGCACAGATGGCTCCGCTGGCTCCCTTGCCTGAGACTTGAGTGAGCATGGGGTGGAGCGGCTGTACCATCTTGCCACTGATGGAGCCTGGATGAATCGCTCGGAAGAGGCACAGCCGGCAGCAAGCCTGGAGTCCTGGATGAATCTGTGCCTACACTAGTCTAGCCTGGCAGCCAGCGGAGGCCCTTCTTTGCTTCTGCCTGGGTTTATGACCTGGGAACGCAGCCCAAATGGATATGAGCGGCCCTTGTTTGCATCCATCCCAGAGGAGACTCAAGGCTGCTGGAGGTATTCTGTGCCCTATGCTCTGCCCCCTGGAGGGCTGGCTGAGCACACAAATGCCAACAAGGGCAACAAGCGCAGCGGCCACCCTGTTGCCAGGCTTCCTGGCTCACCCCTGCACAATGGAGCTGAGGCCTGAGGAGCAGCCCCTGCAGGACAGTTGGACAAGTGCCTCCAGCTGCACCTCCCTGGACCCCCAGTGCTCACCTGTCAAACAGAGGCTTCTCTCCACAGTCGAAGGAATCCTGCAGGTCCCTCACCAGGTTGGCCTGGCCTGGCATGCGGAAGAGCCCTTCCTCGGTGAGCCCACGTTCCCGGATGAAGTCCACACACTGCTCCACCAGTAGTGGGGCCAGGCGGGGGCCATACTTCCGCTCATGGTGGACCGTGTCCTCCAGTCGCTGCCCAAAGATCCCTAGACACAGAGAAGTACTGGTCACACCCGCTGCCCACCACTAAGCAGAGGCAGAGGGGGTGTTCGGGACAGTGGAGGACAGGTGTGGTGCTTTTAAGGCCAAAGGAGGATCCTCCTGACTAAACAAATTAGACACTGGGAGGACACACAAGGAGACTGGGCCCGAGGTTGCTGGGACAAAGTGCAGGAGACAGCAGCGGGAATGTGGCCTAGTCCATGCAGTTCATCCATGCCAGGAGCAAATGGCCCTGAGGGAGCTTGTGTGATCCATTTTATTGATTGGTTTTGCAGTCAATCCCAATGGGAAGCCATCCAGTACCCATCAACAGAACAAGATGAGGGCTCACGGGGGATTCTCACCAGGGCATGGTGAATGAGGACAGCTCAGTGGACCAGACAGACGGCACACTATGTGAAAACCAGAATCACGACTCAACATCACTAATCATTAGGGAAATGCACATCAAAGCCGCAAGCCACCACCCCACCCACAGCAGGATGGCTCTGGTCAAAGAACAGAAAATAAAAAGTGTTGGTAAAGATGTGAGAAACTGAAGCCTTTGTGCACTGTTGGTGGGAGTGTGAAATGGTGCAGCCACTCTGAAAAGCAGCGTGGTGTTCCTTAAAAAATTAAAAATAGCCAAGGCACCGTGGTGCAGGCCTGTAATCCCAGCTAATTAGGAGGCTGAGGCAGGAGGACCACAAGTTTGAGGTCAGCATGGGCCACTTATGGAGACCCTGTTTCAAAATTAAAAAAAAAAAAAAAATTTTTTTTAAAGGTCTGGGGATATAGCTCAGTGGTACAGTGCCCTGGGTTCAATCCCCAGCACCCACACACAAACAAAACTAAAAACAGAATTACTGTGCCATATATGCCAGCAATTCTTCTGGGTATATTCTAGGAAGAACTGAAAGCAGGATCTGAGACTTGCACACCCATGTGAACAGCAGCACACTTCAGAAAGCTGAAATGTGGAAGCAACTCGGGGTTCCCTCAAAGAATGAATGGGTTTTTTAAAAAGGACATATACTACCATGGATCATGGCTTAAAAAGGAAGGAAATTCTGATACACAGATGAACCTTGAGAATATTATGCAAAGTAAGCCAGTCACAGGACAGACACCATATGACTCCCCTAACTAGGGTGCTGGAATAGTCACACTCACAGAGACCGAGGAAGATGGGGATGCCAGAGGCCGGGGGTGGGGTATGGGGAGTCAGTGTCTGGTGAGTAGGGTGCTTCAACTGGCAGGATGAAAGGCCTGGAGATGAATGGTGGTGATGGCCGCACAACCCTATGCATGTACCTAATGCCACTACACTACTTTTAAAAGGGTTAAGAAGATGCTCAGTTATATGTTAGCTTTACTTACGAAAAAGTTCAGCACAATAGAAAGCAAAAGAAGCCAGCCCAGAGTACACACTGCATGACTCAATTCATAAGAAATTTAAAAACTGATTGGTGCCGTCAGGCAGCACATGGCTCTGGGTGGGTCAATGGCCAGAGCCTTCTGAGGACTTTTGGGTGCTGGTAATGCTGTTTCTGGACCTGGCACTGCTAACTCAGTTGTGTTCACTTTGAGAAAAGTTGTTGTGCTGCACACTACCATGGCTTGTATACTTTTCTGTATGCTATAGTTCAATAATATTTGTTTAAACACACACACACACACACACAGAAGAAAATCCAAATACAGGATAAGGCAACAAATGAAGGACAGAAGAAGAGAGAGAGAGGAAGAAGGCAGAGGAACTTCTAACAGAAAACCCTCGACCAAGTAAACACACAATGGGACTAAGAGGTTCCTGGTAGCCCAGACAAAGAGTGGAAGGAGCTGAGATTTGGAAAGGTCTCTACCCTGCCACTGAGTAGCAGGAGAAACAGACTTCTCTCGCTCGGCCCTAAGCGCTATGAAGTCTTTGCAGTTCTTGATATTATTCACATCCACAATGCAGAAACCTTCCCTGTGGGGCAGTTTTGGGGGTGTGCCAGGGGTATGATGCCAAAGCACCATTCTGTCCAGGCATATGGCTTCTCAGGAGTTGGGTGGTGAGCCAGCTAGCTGAGGGGTTCAACTGGTCCTCAGGCAGCCTACTTCCCTCCATTCTGCAGGGCTGTTGTGAAATAAGATACACAGTCCCTGGGTTGGGGATACAGCTCAGTCACAGAGTGCTTGCCTACAGGCATTAGGCCCTTTATCCCACCCCCAGCACCACACACACACACACACACACACAGAGAACACACACACAGAACACAGTGCCTGGAACACAGTAGGACTCAGCAACTGTTGATCCTCAACCTTCTCAATCCAAAGACAAAGCATGAAGAACTGAGGGGGAAAGACTCCTCCCTTCTAGAAAAATGTCCATGCGGGCTGCACCTGGTGGATGCCATCAATGCTTAGAGTGAAGAGTGTGTGTGTGTGTGTGTGTGTGTGTGTGTGAACATTTGTGCTTGTGTTCATATATCTGAGCATGCGTGTGCACAGTGTGCATGTGGGCTTGTGTGTGCAAGTGAGTGCACACATGGGAGGACATGTGTGAGTGAGGGGGTGCTTTGAAGTCGCTAGCACACAGTGCTGTGGCGCCAGGAGCTGTTCTGAGCACTGTACACGTGTCAACACCTAAGCTACTGAGCTTGGTGACTGGGATTATCACTATCATCAACATCACCTTGACCAGTAGCAAACTGAGAGGCAGAGGGGTTTAAGAATGCACCCAAGTTCATTTTGCATGCAGGTCAAAGTTTGATTGCAGAGAGTCTGGCTGCAGGTGCAGAGAATGTCACCCACACTGTGTATCTACACCCACCATCCTCCCCGCAGCCCAGTCTTCCTGCCCTCTTTCCTCCTGTGTTTCCTCAGAGCAGGTCCCAAGGACATGGGTCATCTGGGCCCCTGGAAGAAGTAGCAGAGGTGCAATGCTGGCAAGGAGACAAAGCTGCCACTTCCTGGGACTCGGTGGGTAAGTCCAGCTGCCCCCACCCATCTGCCAGTGTGGGGACAAGGACCAGTCCATAGCCTTGGCATAGGGGTGGTCAGTGCCGGCTGCCTGGGAAAAGCCAGTTCCAAGAGATCCAGGGTCCACCATTAATGGCATCCCGGCCTGTCCACCAGCCCTAGAGTGGCCTGGGCTAGTCCTGAGGCCCAGAGCCCCTCTTCCCACTCACCCCACCCAGGGCCCAGTCCTCAGATACACTGTTTATTTCCTATGATGCTTCAAGCATTTTAAAATTATATATTTACAAGAGATTTTCACATATACATTTGAATTCCTAGCTTCTCTCTCATTTTTTTTTTTTTATCTGTGGAGCTGGGGATGGAATGCAGGGCCTCACACGTCCTAGGCAAGCGATCTACCCATGAGCTGCACCCCAACCCCTGCAGTTTCTCTCAAAAAATCCACACATAGCAGGCAACACTGGCAGAGCTCAGTGGCACCTTTTGATGGACACACACTTGCCATTTCACTATTCCTTAGTGCTTCCTACTCAGCCTATGCCACACTCTTATTCTGCACAGATTCATTTCACCTCTGCTACCCTGAGCCCCAGTGCACAGACTTCCCCTAAGGACCCTGGGGTCAGGATAAGTGGGACAAGGGTGCCGACCCACAGAAGGTAGAAATTTCTGTCATGACAAGAGACATCTGGTAGATCTCAAATGAACAGCAGAGAACAGAGGAAATGCCCACAAACAGAGGGTAAGAGGGGCGGGGCTAGCCTGGCAATGCACCTTGGCACCTGCCTCCTGCCTCCCTCCCCACTCACACCCATGTACCCTTCAGTTCAGTTCTGCCCACTACCTGAGTATCTTCAATGCTGTTGTCATAATGCCAGGCACACGCAGCATAACCCCCATTAGCACACCTGGTATGAGAACATTTCTTTCTGCCTGGTCCCCCACCCAGGGCTACTTCCCTCTCCCCACTGCACAAGTTGAGGAGAGCTGGACACAGAAGGAGGAAACACACTATCTAGGCCCATCCCCATCCTAACTCCTGTGCTCAGATTACACCAGTGACTGAAGGCCACAGTTGAGCAAGATACACACGGAGGAAAAGAATTTCCAAATTCTCTCTATAGACTCATAAGGCTTGGGTAATTCCATCAGCCTTTTGGCTTCAGCTAGCCCTTCCTGCTCTTTGTCCTGATCCAAGATATCTGCCATCCATCTGTCCATCCATCTTTCTAACATTCCTGCACTGGTTCTTGGCCCTGTTCTTGGTGCAATTATCCCTACTTATCTACTTATCTATGCAAAACCAAGACCCCCATGGAAGCCTAAAACTGTAGACAATGGAAACTCTTTGTGCACTGACTATGATAAAGTTTAATTTATAAATTGGGCACATGAAGACATTAACAATAACTAATAAAATAGAACAATTATGACAACATACTAGAATACAAGTTAAGTGAATGTGGTCTCCTTTCCCCTGGCTGGCACATGGGTGCGCGCGGGCGCGCTCTCAGATTATCTATTCTCTCTCTCTCTATCTATTGCACAAGGGTATGCACGGGTGCTCTATCTATTCTTTCTCTATCTATATCTACATCTATCTATCTATCTCTCTCTCTCTCTCTCTCTCTCTCTCTATATATATATATATATATATATATATATATATATATATATAATCTTATTGTACTTTAACCTTTACACTTGAAGGAAGTGAATATCCAAATTATCAGCATCACTACCCTTGCACTTTGGGGCCATTATTAAATAAGGGTCACTTGAATGAAAGCACTGCAATTCCAATACCAAGACAGTTGATCTGATAACCAAAATGGCTACTAACAGGTAGGTTGTGTATACAGTGTGGATACTCTGGACAAAGGGATAATTCAGGACAGAGAGGAATGGTATGAGATTTCATTATGATACTCAGAATGGTGCCTAATGTAAAAGTCACAAATTTGTTTATTTCTGGAATTTTCCACTTAATATTTTCAGACTGTAGTTGACTACAGGTAACTGAGCCTGTGGAAAG